CAGATATATAAGACTTATAAGAAGATGAAAAGCCTATTTCAGACAAACCCAAATGGCAAAAAACGTCGATGACTCATGGACTCTCCGTATGGACAAACCATGACAAACCCTTTTTCTGATGCCAAGTTTCTCGGAAGTTTTTCTAACTCAGAGAACCAGAGGATATGGCATTTTTATCCACAGAAACGGCTTGAGAAAACTCAGATGGTTCACAGTTTGTCTGCTAATTTTGTGAACTGATTGACATTTTCTTAGCAGCTTCGATTGTTGTACCATGGGGTACCCATTCTTTGATCCGACTCAACATCTATGGCTGGTCTGTACATGGATGCTGAGCACCTTCAATAGGTTTTCTCCATCCGGATGTATACATCATTCCCACCTTGTGGGGTAAATTGATCTGTAACATGTAGATATATCATGATATATCCGTCTATAATTCCCAGATGGCATATTATTCCCAATCATTTGTGTTATCTCCTCATGTTCATATTTTAATATATTTGATGATTCCCAAGAAGTTTCAGTGATCATATGAAGAGAACAGCATCATTTTACCATATTTTACCATGATTTCACCTTTTTTATCTCTTCATCTAGCCATTTTTGTTCGCACCCTTCAGGCTATTGGGAGTCGGCATAGATCCAATGCTTCGCTGCTTCGCCTAGAAAACTTGTAGAACACTGCGAGTTCGCCTGATGATTTCAGTGAATTGTAATATATTGTAATATAAATATCTGGAAAACATCCAATGAATATCTTGGGATATCTGAAATACTATTTCCCAATACTAGTAAATGTCCCAGATATACTGTACTGTTGTATTAATATCAACCACTGTAATATAAATAAAGGAACTAACCACAATATAATCCTCATTTTTCTAAGATCATCCAACAAAACCGTTGCGACCCTGCGACCTGGCAACGGAGGTCTATGGTGCGTACCTGTTCTTAGATGTCGATCAGCCGGGGTACCACAGCTGGGCACATGTGCAACTGAATGCAAAGTGGGATGATATTATGTATACACACAATGTTATATATATATATACACATATGTATACATACATATGTACATATACATACATATAGATATGTGTATATATATATATGTATGTATGTATATATGTATGTATGTATAATATAATGTTATATATTATAATCGTTTGCTTTGGGGATAGAATGGATGGATCCTGATCGATCTTTTTTTTTTGTCATACATGGACCATCTAATGGAATCCTTTGTTGGTGATTTTGAATATGTGGGGGGCCCATTTCAAATCATACGAGCTATTGATGATTTTTCCTCTTGGGAGATCATATGGTCTGAAAATGGGCAAACTACCCTCGAAACAACTGCATTTGAAGAGGAAAACGGATGATCGAGTTTCAGGGTACCCAATTTTCAGACAAAACCAGCTATATACATTCCAAGTTCTTGGATTTGGCTCGACGAAAAGAACATTCCAAATCGTGTGATTGCGGAATGGTACCTTTTCCTGCAACTTCCTGAGATTAGTGTATATATAGACACATACATTTTGCGTCATATCATACTATATATCATATACATTTGCACACCGTATTCATTTACATAATTGCACTCGAGAGATAGTACTACGCAATACTGACACATCTATCTATCTATCTAGCTATCTAGCTATCTATTTAAATATGCATAGGCGTAGTATATGTATATAGGCATAGTGTATATATATATATGCGTATGTATGCATATATGTATGTATAGGTGTAGTTGTATGCATATGCACATATCATCACATATATATATATGTATTTCGATAAACATTGCTTTTCCATTCCCCCAAACCCAAGAACGACATGATGACACTTTGACAGCCCTTTAAGTTGTCAGCTTGCGGTCATTCGTCATGGCTGAGGAACGGCATGCTGAGTAGGGGCGAACTGGGCCGCTTTGGCAGTGGCATGCTGACGGATGTCTTCATTGACAGGCGAGGAACCAGCTGGGAGCCAGTCAAAAAATAATGGGACATGCAACATGTTTATGGAGATATTATATGGGGACATAATATGGCGATATAATGGGGATATTACATGCGGATCTAATCTTTTTATGAGGATACAATAGGACATCTACCCTCTGCTAAACATGGCTAGCTGGAAAGTCCCCTACACATGGAGGTTTGCTGGGAAAATCATCGAAGTAAATGGGGGATTTTCCAGCAAACCATGTTTGAATCCCAGGGATATGATCTCGGAAAATATCGGAAACATCATCAACAATATGAGCGTTGGCTTTGTCTGAAAGTTGGGACCCCAACAAAAAATCGGGGTCAACAGAAGAAAAAAAACGGAATGGGTGTGTCTAGACCAGAAATGGCTATTTGAATGGGGAAAATCATGATAACTCAGTGGATGGACTGGATCTACATTTATTCTTTAATCCCGTTAGCACCAAAAAAACATATATCAAGGATGGGCTTGAAACAAACAGAAAACTGGTGGAAAGCAATGAGTGCAAAAACCATATGATGACTATTTCATTCATATGTATATCAGTGTACCACGTATAGACATATATAGACATCATATTGATACATACAAATCTGCTTAAATTATAACAACCTCAATGTCCTCAGTGTAATGATGCTTAGGATTCGGATGTCTTCCACCTTTGAGGCGGTAGTGTTGCTGGGGACTCCGGTAAACATGGCTGGGACATCCTCGAACGAGCGAGCCATGGAGGTTTTGTCATGAGAGAAACATCTATGGCAGCTGCTGGTGCCATGGCCATTGCCATCGAACTGATGACCGGATGGAAATGGTGTGTTATATATTTCCATGGAAATCATCTTGTTCGTTTTGTTTAACCTATTGTACCCCCCAAAATATATAGTTGGTTCTTTCGCTCCTCATCGGCTCCGAACACCGGTTGAATAGCAAGTTTTCTGTCTATGGTTGATATTCCCAGTGGGGTATCCTATGGGGGCAATTATAGGTTGGTTATTGACACCTGGTTAATCCTGATGATAGAATTCCCACCATGTATTGCCATCATATCCCCATAGAATTTGTTTGAACCAATCAGACTGGTGTATATATTCCCATTCGATTTCTGGTTGGTGGCTGGGAACATTTTCTTTTTTCCATTCAGTTGGGAGCTTCGTAATCCCAACTGACTCATATTTCTCGGGGTAGAAACTAGCACCAGCCAAGCAGATTTCCATGTTCCCAGTGTATCCCATGGTAAAAACTGAGCGTTTCCATGGATTTCCCTCGTGGATTCCATGGCGAACGCAGGGTCTTTGAAGAGTACCAGACCTATCGCGATGCTGACACGGGCGAGCGTGAGATGGACCCCTTGGAGGGACTCTGGGACCGATGAATAGTGAATAGTAAGGTAATTCATAGGTGAAAGATGGATATTTCAAGCACTAGGAGAAATCATAGGTCATAGGTTGCTATTGGAAAGAAGAATATGGTTTCAACCAACAAAGAAGAGCTGTGTTCGCGGAATTTCGAACGCGACTGCGCCCCTGGCCGCAGATTGTGCCAGCGAAAACGGGAATGGTAAAGCAACAGGTGAACTACACTCTGGTAAACAAACATAGCTATTGAAAATAGCCATTTATAGTGGATTTACCCATTAAACATGGTGATTTGAAAATGGTTAGATATTCTCTATCCGGTGGTTGCCACGTCAACCTTTAGGACATGGCTCATCCCTAAATGAAGCTATATCGATGGTCATAAAATGGTGAGGTGTTTCTGCTTTTCGATTCAGGTCAATGCGTAATAATAAGATAGACCATCAACATAAGTTACCCATAACACGATACAGTAGAAACCAACATAACTCATCCATAACATGATAGAAAATCAACATCACCAACCGTTTTTTTTAATAAGTCACATCTGCCGACACCCTGGAGGACTACAAGACCTTCCTGGACTTTGTCTTAGCCATGGAGAACAAGAGCACGCCACAGGCGATTTTTTCTGCGCCATGACTATGGCGGGGCAAGTGCGACAAGACATGGGGAATCTGAGGTTTTATCCAGTTATCCAGTGAAATTCGGGGTTAGTTTTTTTTGACATACCCTTTGGTTATTTAACATAGCCATGGAAACCATGGCCCATAGAAATAGATGGTTTACCTATTATATAAAAATGATTATTTTCCATGGTTTACCTACAAATAACCGGATGGTATACCGTATTTTTGTGTATAGTTTTAAGGGGCTTTGTTGGGATCGTGTCCAATTTGAAAAATGCCCAGATTTTCATCCAAGGGTCCAAGGGTCTCTGACTGATGTTTACAACATGAAATGGTGGCACAAGTCCCAAGTGAGGGGAGGCATGGTGGTTTACAACATGAAATGGTGGTTTACAACATGAAAGTACCATGAAATGGTTGCTGTAGACCATTTGTTGGTGGCTTTTACGGCATATAGCTACCATCATAGTACCATGAATTGACGATTGGCGAGAAGTCAGTCGCTGTGCCAGGTCTGACCTCAGATCTTGGGGGGTCTATACAGTTCTCTACTGTGGCCCTCCCGATTTCCCGGATATGATCCAACTAGGAGATCATAACGCCAGTTTTTTATCCATCGAATGGAGTCAGTCTACTTCTTGGGGCCCTATTTTATTGGTTTTGCATGCATATATTTATTACACATATTATTTTTATAATATTTATATACACTTTTTCTGTATACATACGCAGTATAATAATGTATAAACATATATATATATATTCATACATACACATCTTCATATATACCCATAATATACACATTTCATCAGAGACCCCAGACGCTCATCATCCACGTGGCCTTTTAATGGCCTTCGTGCCTTCGCAGGCCATTCAGTACTTCTGGAAGCTCCTGGACATTCATCACACCGGTTGTCGGCGCCTGAGGGGTCTGTGATGCTGGCAAGACCCTTGGGACCCTTGAGGTCGCTCGAGCATGATGTGGAGGATATATGAAGCATCAAGGGATATGAAGCAAGCATATCAGGCCATGAATTCAGCTATAAGAACTGGGAATACATGGGGATATTGACGATCAACCATGCTGAAGTATGGGATATCACATGGATCATTTCATGACTTTTCATGGGGATATTTTGTGATTTTTCATGGGGGTAACATGGGGTAAGCAGTTCCCCCGATGAGCAAATATAACTGCCATGGAGTATATTGGACCTCATCATTTTTTGGTCCCCACTGGGGATTCCCCCTGATGTCGGGTGGGATTTTTTTGGCAATGCGACAAGCAACCCTGAAAAACCCGGACAAAATGGGATATTTGTAGTATTGGACAACCAGAAGCCATTGAGTTTTGGGGTAAACAGTTTCAAACCATACCCGGCCATGGTGGCAAGGAGAAATCACATTTTTGATACGAACATCACTTAGAAATTCGACATGTGCCTTCATTGTCCAAGGCTTAATGAACATTGGGTGAAACTTTAAGGCCCATGAGCCACAAATGTTACAATGTGTTGGTTGATTTTCAAGATCTAAAGCAGTTGCTTCCTAAGTGGAGTGATACAACTGAATTATCATTGGAGTACCCCAATTTAAATTCCTGGGGACTCCAATGATAGCTCTCCATTTGCAACATGTGTTGCCTTTGTCGAACCAACGTCACCAAGGCATTGATGGCTTTGTCATCAACTACTTCTTCCGTGCCATCGTGAAGCTTCTCCAGTCCAAAGGCCGGTACCAACGGTGATCCTGGGGGGTTCAGTGGTCAAGTTACGTTTGGCTTAGCCTTTATCCAACGTGGCTGGAAAATGTCCCATAGATAATCATTGATATAGGTTTTTTCCAATGTATAGACCTCCAGTTCAGGGAGTTTTGATGGCCACATTTGAGTACCAAAGGGTATTTTCTCATTTCGGGGATGGGAAGAATCTCTACATTTTTCAATGGGATTTTTGGTTAGCCATGATGTTTGGAATCCCCCTTAAATCCTGGTGGGATGACCACTAGGTCAAGGACGTCCGTATCTGATGTGATTTTGTTGTGCAGGCTATTCGGGGAATCGGTTGTTGCATTGTCAACTTACAGTATCTCATTCGTTGGATGGTGAAGGTGTAGAAAGGGTCAGCAAAAACTGGTCCTTCCGTTGACTGACACGCCCCTTGGGTGCGGAGATAGCCTCTGGTAAACTAACATAGCTATTGAAAATGGTCATAGAAATAGTGAGTTTTCCCATTAAAAATGGTGATTTCCCATAGTTTTCTGTATGTTTACCAGAGGGTACCATATGAATCCATATGCAGATCCCCTCAACGTGGGTATCACCGATGCCTATCGTTATCGTTGCAGTCGATCCAGCTGTTTAATAAACATGGCGATGCTGTGGAAATCCCCACTGAAATGTAGCGAAAATAGGTAGGAAAATCATACTGTAACTGGTTGGTGGTTTCAGACATTTTTATTTTTTTTCTATATATTGGGAATCATACTCCCATTTGACGAACTCCATCATTTTTCAGAGGGGTAGGTTCACCACCAGGTAGGTATTTTCTCGCACTTTCAAGCAAAAAAAATCCAGTTATAACCCCATGATATCCCCATGATATCTCTATCCACTTCCCAGATATTTCAGGTCCCGACATTGCCTCAGAGGACGATGTGAAGGACGAGATCTTCGACATGGTGAAATCCAAGACGTGGCTTGGCAGGATCCGAGTTTTTGGATGGGGGTTTCATAGGAACATCATAGACACAAATGTATACATAATATACATAATATATATATATATATACATAATACATATATATATATATACACAAGATAGATAGATATATATATATTATGTACAGATGTTGTATTTTCCATTGCCGTGTTCAATAAATGGCACGTGGAAAAAACATGATGATGTGGCGGTGAGGGAATTTTGAGATCCTCCCTGATTTGGGTCATTTTCCACGGCCAGCTGAGAGATTGACAGAGGACAGTTAATAATTATAGCTTGAGAATGTTTGATTGTTGGTCATATCCACGCTGTTGTTAGATGCACATATAAATATGCAAAGAGTTTTACATACATATATATATATATATGATATAGATATATGATATATGATATTTGATATAGATGTATGACATATGATTTAGATATATGATATATAGATATATGACATATGATATAGACATATGATATAGATATATGATATAGATATATGATATATGATATTTGATATAGACATATGATATAGATATATGATATAGACATATGATATAGACATATGATATAGATATATGATATAGATATATGATATAGATATATGATATAGATATATGATATAGATATATGATATAGATATATGATATAGATATATGATATAGATATATGATATAGATATATGATATAGATATATGATATAGATATATGATATAGATATGTGATATAGATATATGATATAGATATATGATATAGATATATGATATAGATATATGATATAGATATATGATATAGATATATGATATAGATATATGATATAGATATATGACATAGATATATGATATAGATATATGATATAGATATATGATATAGATATATGATATAGATATATGATATAGATATATGATATAGATATATGATATAGATATATGATATAGATATATGATATAGATATATGATATAGATATATGATATAGATATATGATATAGATATATGTATACTATACCCTAAACAGTGCTGGTTGGTTCTATCCCTTTGCCGCTGTGATTTCGACGGCATCGTGGTCGCCTAGGCCTGGTGTCATCACCCTGGAGGACTTGATCCGTTGCCGCCAGGGCGGCACCGTCTTGTGCCGTGGTTTCTTATGATGAATATCATGAATCCCCTAGTGAATGTTGATGAATATTTTCTGAATTTTCCCATGTTTTGGTTGCTGAATATGAAGACATCAGTAAGGTGGCGTTGGGGGATGCCATCCAAGTTTCTGGAGGCCATAGGTAGATGTTCTTCTGACCATGGTTATACCTTTTGAACTTCGCCCAAAACCTGACTGCGAATCGTTCTGGTTGGTTGTTAGGTATTCCCATAATGGATAATCATCATCTCCAACCTACCCTATGTAGAACTCCCAATTACCCTCTGGTAAATTAGCATAGACCCTGCCAGAAAACGGGGTTGGAAATTTAAAAATCAAATGAACATTGTTGATTTTCAGGGTCGAACTGTTAATTTACCAGCGGGTGTGTTACATGGGAATATGATGGGAAGATCCCATCAAAGAATGGGAATGTTGAACCAGGTAGTTCATAATTCCACTTACCCTCTGGTTATGACTAACAGTTTGCCATGGAAAATCACCATTATTAATAGGTAAATCACCGGAAACCATCTATATGTGGGCCATTATCATGATATACCCTCTGGTTATTTAACATAGCCATGGTATAGATGGCCCTATAGATGGCCCATAGAAATAGATGATTTGATGATTTTCCCAGCTAGAAACCTCCATTTATTTACGGGATTTTCCATGGCTATGTTAAATAACCAGATGGTAATTCCCAATAATCCAGGTAGTATATATGGGGATTGGTGAAAACCTATGAAATTATCAACATGACTGGGGGAATAAAAGATCCATTCACCAGCTCTTCTAAGGTACCTAAGGTCCCAGGGTTTTGACTCATAGCCACGTTGGAATATTATGGGAATAGCATAGGAATAGAACTTACTCTCTTAACTAGCTGATATAGACGTGACAAATCACCAAAAGCCCCGATCGTTTTCGTTTTGCGGGTTTTTGTCCTAGGGTAAACATCAAAATTGGGGGGTTGAACATGCTTTAACCATCCTGAGTTAATCATGAGATATAATGGGATATAATTTACAACAAGATATTTAACCCACAATATGATAGTTGGGTGTGGCTGAATATGGTTAATGATGAACTAGGGGATTCAACCATCGTTGGTGTGATGGCGTTGCCCAACAAAAATATGGGCATAACATTGACGCATGATCGTTGATTGATGATTCGTTCGCAGGTAAAAAAATCCAACGATTTTGGGCATTATCACAATCCATTATGAGACTCCTTATTTGACACAATATAATGTTTTAAACATAATAGCAGAATGACAGAGGGTTTGAACACTTCTCATATGGTATTGGGTGAACTATCTATCTATCTATCTATCTATATATATTGTTCGAGAGAACTATGATGAAATAAGAACGTCCCCTTTTTTTTAAACGTTCATTGAACGTTCAGTGAGGCACAGGCTGGGGGAATCTGAGCCGAAGCGGTCGTCAAACATGGCTGGAAAATGTCCGAAGAAATGGAGGGTGATGGCTGGAGATTTTCCAGCACCGAGCTGATGAAACCCGAGGATGACATTGGATCAGATCCGCAGTTTCGATGCTTAGGAGACATTAACATTAAGTAAAATTTAAATAACGTTTAACTAACATATAATTAACGGTAAGTAGCATTAAGTAACATTAAGTAACATTAAGTAACATTAAGTAACTCTGTGGTAATATCTCCACAACACAAAGTAACACCCAAACGAAGCCGTAGTGGATCGTATTGGACCTGTCTTTTTTTTTGTAGCTTCATACCAGCAAGGGGGGAGGGGGGATTAACCATGTCATATCATATCCATTGTTTGTTTACTGTATATAATATATCCGAGTATATTATATAATGAGAATGATCAGATGCACAGATATTATAAACATAATATTCGATATATTTATAGCACTATAACAATGTCATATTATATCTGTACCTATCTTATATTAAACCGCGTATATTTGATCATTTGTTCCTCAGAATTTCTACCGGAGTGGGAATCCGGCTTCTATTCCCCATCATTGTTGATATGTGTTTCATATCTCTTCCAACAAAAGGATGGCCTTGTCTGAAAATGCCATTTCAACAGGCACTATGATTTTTCCATCAACTGTTTTCTTCTCCCCCATTTTTCAAGTGCCAGACCCACATATATCATATTTTCGGGTTATATATATATACAATTATATACATATATATATAGCATTAACATGCATTAATTCTTATTTTTATGGTTAAAGCTCAGCATTTTTGGTGTTGTTTGATCTCCCAAATTAGGTCGATGCTCTTTGATGCTACGGCCTTCTGGTTGTATGACAACAGGGAGAGCCTCATGATCGATCAGGTGCTGCGGGGTGGGACACGGAGAATGGACAGGGACAAGAATGTCTATGACATGTTGGAATATGTAGATGATCTATGATTATCTTAGATGTAATCACACATGTTGTGAACTGGGGTAGAAATGGAATTTAAAGATGAAATGTGAAGATCTAAGCACTACAAATGAGGATATAGCTGATAAAGATGAGAAAGGTGCACACAAAGCAACAGCACAGTGTTGCTTAGTCAAGATAGATGAGGATTTCACCCAGCACCGGAGAAAAAAATGGGGATGTCACTTTTTGTGAAATTTTTCATGGTGTCATAGCTGACATTGGCATAGCAGAAATCCCTCCATCTTTCGAACGGGGTTGGTGGTTCGCTTCGATGTCGTGGGAATTCCATGATAAAAACCCCAGCTGGTGGTGACTGGAACATTGGTTTAATATGGGATAATGATGGTTAATGATGGTTAATAATGGTTAATAATTGGAATAACAATATATCTGGTTGGTGATGACTGGAACCATGGAATTTTCTTTTTCCTTTTTCCATATAGTGGGAATTTCATCATCCCAACTGACTTTCACTCCATGATTTTTCAGAGGGGTAGGGCGAAACCACCAGCCAGCGAGTCAACAGCGAATGGTTACTTTAAGAACTGGGGGTTTGTGCGGATATGAAGCTTCGATGTGCGATTTCTTATGCGGAGATCATGGAGATGCGATTTTTCATAGGGAGATCATATCGTTTCTTCATAGGGTGGTAGGTTTTTTTCCCCAAAAAAAAAGACGATCCTGCAAGCGAAAGCCTGGTTGAATGTAGTGGTCCGTCTGCTTTGGAAAAACTAATTCTTCTCATTTTCAGGATTTCACTTTTCGGATTTTACTCTTCAATCATTTTCAGTGTTGCTTCTTTTAAATGCCAAACCAGGATTCAAACACAAGTTGGGTCACTGAGCCACTGGACGAGGATATTTTCTTCGATTTTCATGGCCGTGGTTTTTCCGATACAATGGATGGGAATAAGATTAGTACACCATGGTTTATTAATTAGGGGGGTATTCCCCCAATAGTCATAATCTAATACTTAAATGGTACCCTCCTAATTAAACAACCTAGTGGTTTATTAATCCAGGGTTGGCATTCAGGGAAATTTTAGAGGAACCACCATTTTTTTATATGAAAAAAAGACATGGTTTCCTGTAGATTTTCCATTGAAGCAATCCATCGATACGATTTTGGATGATACTCTCTGGAAATTTAACATGGCCGTCATGGCCGTAGAAAATCACCATTCCTACGTAATAAATAAATGGGCAATGCCCCTCCATTTGCCATGGCGATGTTGTCGGAGAGTCTCACCTGAAATCGACCACCGTTAAATTTCCGGTTCCATGTTAAATTTAGGTGTAAACCAGCAATTCTAGATGTGTGAATTTTGGTAAACCAACATGGTGGATAGAAGTTTTCATCTGTTTCATACTACCATCCCAGCATCAACAGAGATTTAACCGAGGCCAGTCTTCTGCCATGCCCTCCGTTACCCATTTCCCCCGGCAGGATGATGATGATCTTGATCGCTAGCGGTTCGTAAACCCAGGTGATCGGGGTCGCCTGACAATTTCGGCTCCTGTGAAGTGGACAAGAGGGATATAATAGGGATAGAATTGTATGCATGTATATATATATATACACATGAGTATATATATATATAATTAGATTAATGTATAGATACCCTCCAGTAAACATACGGAAAACATTAAAAACACAATGTAATTGATGGGCTTCGCTGGGACATTATCTTTCTCAGCCATGCTGGAGTTCTTGCAAGGACGAGTGTATGTCTTGAGATAATTTCTTGTGAAACATATATCATATAGTTACTGTTGGCTACTGTAACCAGAGTAATATTGTATAGTTACTATAGTAAATCTATAATTACTGTGTAACCACTCTTTAATATAGTTTCTGTAGTTACTGTAAGAGTGCTTGGATGACCTTTACCCTTTTTTTTCTCCCTCATTTAGTAGGTTCAAAACCATATTTATCGCGCACATATAATTTCAAGGCTTAGTGTGTAGAGTCCTCACGTTATAATAAGAACATAAATGCAAAAATAGACGCAGCCGCTATTTAAATTAAATAGTCGTAGCTTTATTTCATATATTTGGAAAATAGTTTAAGTTCCATTCTTATTTGGACGTATTCCGTAAAAAAAACATAAAGTTTCGACCCATGGAGAAGGTCTGAGGAGAAAGTGGACGGGTGACATGGGGTGAAACTTTTTGTTTTTTGTGTTTTTCCATGGGTTTTGAGGCATTTTTGGGCCAAGGTGGCAAAAACATCGAGCACACCAAAAAAAAGCAAACAAAACAACAAGTTTCGACCCGTGGAGAGGGTCTGAGAGTCTGAGGAGAAGCTGGACAGGTGACATGGGGTGATTTTTTTTTTCCCATAGTTTTGGACCAGTTTTTTCCTCTTTCAGAATTTGGATCGTTTGTAATTATGAGAGTTTGGGATAGATCCAAGCTCCAGGAATGGACGCAGATCAGCAGACAGGATGATTTTAAGCAGACAGTGCAAAACATGCGTGTTTCTACAATGTGCACGCCTTCAACCCCCATCATCCTCCCTTCTGTTTTTTTTGTCGTTCGTGGTTTTTTTTTGGCACTCCACGTTAATGTTCAATTTTTTGTTGCCTCGCTGTGAAAGGATATGGTCCCAACTTTTCTTGTGCACAACGAAGGGTTTTTCTTTGTATTTGACACAGTTCGCGGAGACTTAGGGACACCTATGCAACATTTTTCTTCATCTAATAGGGGAATCCCCTTAAATGAAACCAACCAGATTGGGATTGCACAGGCTTTTAAACAACACATTATTTTCTCGCCGGCTCGCCAGGTGTCGATCATTCAAAACGCCTTTGGGGAATAAATTTCTGGCGGTAAAGGAAATGTGAATTTTGATTTCCCATATATTCCTGGAGATTTAATTGGAACCAGGAGGGCTTCGGGTGGGAAAAAAAGGTTTCTGTCATTTCGCCCTAGGCCATTGGTTTAATGAATGGGGGTTTTCAGAATCCAATATCGGAACCTTTTTCCCCAACCATCATACCTGTGTTTAACATGCACCCCGTAAAAAGAACCATGGCATATCCATTAGTAAAATCGTTTTTGACACCACCCTTTTCAGGTTCCCCGCTAGATATTTTTGGGCGTAGACGACAGATTTCAGCACTGCACATGCGAATCACGTCTGAGGCGCGATTTCTTTCTGCGTCGGGCGGCCAGCAGCGATGTTGGCAACATACAAAACTACCATGGCATGGGTTTGTTCAAATGTAAAGGATTCATTCTACAAAACGGAATTTAGACATTCTGATTTACGGAAATATAACGGGATTTAATATTATATAATTAGATATGCATATCTAATTATGGATATTTGAATTGGAAGAACATTATATATAATTATGTATATATATATATATCTATACATTTGTAGCAAGAAACCAACAATATGATCTTTCGGTTTGTCCAAGCATGGACATATTAAACCATTGGATAATGACAATGGGTTCTAGCCACTAGTAAGTCCTAGATACCAATCCCATCAATTGCAATTTTCGGGGTATTCTATGGTTTCTCAAACATTGGGCACATTCATTTCTGAGATGAACTGAAGTTCGGGCCGTTCGACCCCAAACCTATGGCCTTTCCCGTAGTTTGGTTGAATTGGCGGGTGACCCACCCATCATATTACGTGTTTTAAGGAATCCTTCACAATACTTATTAACCAGGGGTTGGTAACTGTCCCATTTTGGGTATATTGGACATCACCTTATAGTAGCCATTATAGACCATATACCTAATGGTTGGGTGATGTTCAATGGGGACATTTAATGACCCATGTTAACTATAGTTCTATACTGCGAATTTGCAATGATCATTTAGGGATTTCACCATCCGGGGAGATATGATTGTTACTAGTGGCTGTTTCCAGCGTAACGGTGGATGTTTGCCGAGTGACGTTCCATGATTGATTTTGCCGATCATTTGGTCAAGTGACGCATGACTGACTCTCAGTTTTTTTTTCACTGCAGCTAAATTGTTCACTAGTTGGTTTATAATTCCATAAACTACGGTTTTTCTTGGGAATATAACGATAGTTAATGGGTTTATAAACCAACTTATAAACCAACTCCATGTGAAAACTGGGTGTCACGCCCCACTGCCCGTCGTGCACGACGAGTTGTGACGTTTATCCCGAATTCGTGTTGACGCTCCGAAGAGGTGATAGCACGACGATGGACCCAGGATCCAAGATGTCAAAGAGAAGCCGAAGCAGGAAACATTGGAAAACCATAGGAAAACCATAGGAAAACCATAGGAAAATGGAGGTTTACCCTCTGGTAATGACTAACATAGCTATTGAAAATGGCCCATTTAGTTCGTGGATTTTCCCATTAAAAATGGTGGATCTTTCCATGGCTATGTTAAATTACCAGAGGGTAAACATTGATGAGTCCATGAGTAACCTCAAAATGTTGATGTTGACGTTGTCTTCTTCTGTTATCACTCCTGGTTGTGGAACTCATAGTATCGACCTCAGAAAATTCTTTTAACAAGTGCAGTTTCAATGGAAAATACGATGATCACCAGTGAGTCATGATGAGTAGAAATGGGGATTTGACCAAAATAGGTCATGATGGTGTTGAAACCAATCCCATCCACCAGGGTTTTGCTTCGGCGGTATTTCATACTAGGCGCTACCTAGTGGTAGCAGACAGCGACTTAGCGATCACGTGTGTTTTTTTTCAGGAAACAGTTACAGGAAACCTCGCATTTTCCATGGTGAATGGTCTGGCTTTCTGTCTTTCGCATCACCTGACGGATAGAGGAGGCCTGCGCCGTGGCGGTTCACGGCCCCTGGACAGTTTCCCGTGACACGCCACAGCTTTTGGCGCGCCTGAAAAGGGTGATGGAGATGGCCGTGAGTTTTATCCACGGAATCCCATTTTTGATTCGGAAAATGCCTGATACTTCTGGATGTTGTCAAATTCAGAGAACATCTATATGAAAAATTATGAAACGGTACTTCACACATGTCCATTGTACTTCATTATTTTAAAGGGAACATCTATGAACATCACACCATTCCCAGATGGATCCCAGATGGAAACTACGGTTGAAACTTCTCCGCGCCTGAGCTCGGGGCTGACCTACCGGCAGCCGAATCGTCGCTAATGCCAAAAGTTCTGGGTGGCCAAGTCGCGAGCGGGATTTTGGTGGAAAGCTGGAGGACAGTTACAAGGAAAACCATGGGAAAACCATGGGAAAACCATGATGTTTCAGGTAGAAAACCATGTAAATCCATGCTTTCCTGCGAGATGTCCCTTCATAATTGGCCCAATCATTTGTGGTTTCCACTGCTGCAAGGTGAAACTAGTCTTGGGAGATAGGAACAACTTGGGTTGTTTGGCCGAAAACAAGGGACCGTCATAGCAATCTATTATATATATAGTAATGTGGAAAACCCAATGTCATAAACCATCATAAACCTACCATTTGGGGATGTTTGACATACCACCCATAAGCATGGTGTTTTTCAACAGTTGTTGGTAATTAAACCCCTACTGCAATCGACTAATAGATAGCAAAAGAGGGGTTACATAGTCACAATTATCAACAATAGTGAGTAGTCAATCATAGCAGATTGGGGCTTCAAATTTACTACTAGCAGATAAGGATTCAAGAATCCTAGTCGTTGTTGGATGACCATGAGATAACATTTTTGAGACGTTTAGACCATGGCACCCATGGCACATGGGTCCGTTGGTTGTTAGTCACGCAACTTTTCAAAGGGTTGGATCCCTGGTTTTGAAAGAGATGGTTGAAGCCTTGTTCTTTTGTTGGTTACATCCTAATGATTTTTGCATGAACTTGGCTCAAATCGACGATTGCTCGTTGGTCAAAATTGGTATTTTTTTTATTTTGTTTCTGGTTGCCGATTTCAAATATGCATCTCGTTTTTTACTATATGAATATATGATATAATCCGCCATGCTGGTCCCCTAAACCCACCCCATGTCCCAGCCCCGTGTCCCCAAGTGTTACCCTAAAGTTCTGTAGATCGTGTTCTCTAATGTAATCCAGCATGCTGGTCCCCTAAACCCATGTCCCAGCCGTGTTACCAAGTGTTGCCCTAGAGGTTTGTATATCATGTTCTCTAATGTAAGCCACCAGGCGGGTCCCCTAAACCCACCCCATGTCCCAGCCCATGTTACAAAGTGTTGCCCCATGTCATACAATGAAGGAACGGATAATCAAAACTCATGAAACATCATGGTATACTCAAGAAATCTGTGGGAAAAACTGATGAAATCCAATGATAGCATGCCATTTCTTTTTAATTGTGGTATCCCCCATTTGTTTGGTTTCAAGGTTCCGAGGTTCCATCATTCACGCGTTTCCCCAGATGGGGGTAGTTTTGATTTCCAAGGCCAATTAATCAAAAAAAATGACATAGATATTTTTCTTACTTAATCCAACTTAATCATGCTTTTCTAAGAATACAATTTCTGG